CCTCGCAAATGTTTGAATTTCTCAACTACCATGTTTCATGGACTAATCTAGAGACTCTGATGCTTTATGGCGTCAACGAGAACAACGCCCTGGAACCGAGCATCTTCCTTCGCATGGTCAGCCTCCTGCCGTCGCTGCGAAATCTTTGCATTTCCAACTTTGACGCGGATGCCTTTGCGGACAGCGCGCTTCTGTGCCTACCGTCACTCGAATCGCTCCGTTTGGAGAACCTCCCGGGCGTGACTGATTCAGGGCTCTGTCAATTTGCCATGCGTCCAGAGTCTCGCTCACTCAAGACCCTGGCCCTTATCGAACAGAACATCGATTCGTTACTTACTATCTCAAAAATCTTGTCATCGCTGAGACAGTTGGAACGATTCAAGTTCGTCCAGAGCAACAAGAACCCTACGCTGAACGCCGATGGGATTGTTTTTCAACCGCTTTTCGCCTCTTCCACGCTTCGATATTTGCATTGGGACGTTACAGGACCCGACTCTGCCGCCGGGCTCGGCAGGCTCGATTACACTCCATTTGTGAAACCACCGCGACATACAGAGTCCCCGAATTCTCATCTAGCTCAGAGTATTCTGTCTGTGGGCTTCCCTCGCCTTGAAGCACTGCGAGCACCCTCGGATATAGAACCTCCGGGAGTCCTTCAGGCTGTATGCCAGCCGATACCACGCGGGCAAGCACTGCTCAAGCCAGACCGTTACAGCCTCCCCCGTAGCTCCCACGGCTCTGTTACGACCCGACCAATGGCCCTGCCCGCCGGGAACAACTTGACTTCTGCTCGGATACGAGCGCAGACTTTTATTGATATGGCAGCGAAGGACACGGAAACCGGAATGCGGCTGCTCATCACTGATCACTCCGACTCGTACGTTCCAGACAATGCATTGGACGAACTTTCCGATGATGGGTCCGATCTGGACATGGACGAGTTCGGCATAGGTGGTGTGCAGCCTAAGAATGATGTCTTGCCCGATGATCACGAAGGTCCGGTCACCGTGTATGACTTCCGGATGCCAGCCTTCATGGGGAGGATAGGCTGTAGGACAAGTGAGAAGGACATCTCAATTCCGCGATTTATCCTCCGACCAGACATACCAGGGCAGGATGGTGATGGAGGTTTAGTTGATTGGAAACATGTGCTGGCCTCCAGCCAGTCCCTTACATATGCTGCTGGAGTTGGAGTAAATTGCTTTGGCGGCAAGGGCCACGCGAAACCGGCGCCCGAAGAGCCGCCATCGCCGACCTCAACTACAACCTCACGCTTTGGATGGGGCAGCATCGGCAGTCGGTCCGCGCTGGGCACCAGTCCAAACACCCCTACAACACCAGCGACGCCGATGAGTCTTTCGTCTACAACGGCACTCCCTTGGGACCGAGATTCCTGCACCGGATCTTGGAATTATAGCCACAAAAGTGGAAGGGACTGGTGGTTCCATATGGAACGAGACCGCCCAGGAAATGTCGAAATAGTTGACATTAAGCGATTATTCTAGTCAGGTTGATGTACATCACCGGTGACGTGCATTCGGATCTTACCTTTCATTGGTACTTTTATTTTTCTCAATAATGGCATGCTATGGTACATGCTTTCTGTTGGTATACACGCAGAAATGGCGTTTACGGATTGACGGATGGATGGACGATCTCATCAAATGTGGATATTCTTTTTCTTTTTCTTTTCATTTCTCTGGACATTTTCTGGCCTCGACATACCCGGTGCAACAGGGGTTATTCCCATTTCTATCTCATTAATTGGCATCTCTCTCTCTCTATTGTCTTGTTGGTTCATTACCGCATGAATCGCTACCATCTGGGTCATCTCCGTCTAATAGTGTTTGGCACCGGCGTGAGCAACGCATCTTACATGATGCTGCAGCTCTTGGTTATTTCGTATATCCATGTGTCTTCGTTTGTACAGCTTATCATCTGGGGTGGCATTTGTCGATCTTATATCTCGTTTTCCTGTATACCTATATTACTTACGATCAGACTGATCGGTATATATGCCTAGTGCGTAATGCATAACTATGGACTGCCAACAAGAACTGACATTAATTTCACAGTAAATAGATGATGACAGATAGACAATATATCCTTAGAGTTGCCTTCTTCCAAGTAAGTAGTATATATATATCATGATATATATATATGTAAGAAACCGTAAGTATGCTCCCCTTCTTCTCACTCAACAAACTCACTTCATCACAAAACTGCAAAGGATGGAAGTAAGACTGGATGACGCACAATCTACCATACACAAAACGAATAAGAATAAAACGAATTGAGAAGGTGAAGAAGAACAAAGAAGAAAATAAAAAATTAATAAAAAAGAGGAATGGGGCAAGCCGGGCTTGAACCGGCCACCTCCAGATCTTCAGTCTGACGCGCTCCCAGATGCGCCATTGCCCCATTGGTTGATACTTTGGCATTCAAAGAGTGCTAAATGAAGCTGAGCTTGACGTACAGAAATCAAAACAATTATTCTAAGGCATTCGGGATGGACTATAGAGTAGGGGTGTTGATCTTTTCTCGGGGTATCTAGAATGGTAAGTGGTTGATGAAGGGTTGAGTGGGTAGGGAGTTCGTCTACTTTTCCCTTTTTACTTGCCCTGATAATGGGACAATGAAGACTACAAACACATAGAATGTACAATGTTCTAGTTAGTACTCGTCTTTGTATGCTTTCCAGTAACAACTCCCTCTTTGTCTATCTCTTGGCGCAGGCAAGTCCATATTAGAATAGTATCGGAGAACCCGTAAATATAGTAAGTCCATCACCATGCAGGGATAGAACGTTTTATGGTGGTATCCCTACCCACCATGTCCAGAACATTCTCAATACCTCATCAAGTTACATGGCATGAGTCGATCGATCGATTTGCTCGATATGCCTGCTGTGAATATCTCTAACCAGTACGTACTCCTCCCTCATATGGTCAAAACCCTGGACAATGATCACTAATCAAGGGGCAATGGCGCATCTGGGAGCGCGTCAGACTGAAGATCTGGAGGTGGCCGGTTCAAGCCCGGCTTGCCCCATTCTTTTTTTATTTCATTTGTTTTCCTGTTCCTCTATGATTTTTAAATGTGGATAATTTGCATATTGTGGGTGAAGGCGATGTTGTGGGGTTGTTGTAGATGCGCTAGTTGTATACGGTTAGTCAGTGTTCATGAGAGTTTCTGGTTGATTATGTAATTACTCAGTTGGTTGGTTGGCTGTATGCTGTTGAGGGGGAAGATTCCTGTGAAGGATACGGCATTAATCAGACAAGGCTCAAAGACCATGTTTTAACTCAATTTGTGGGGAATATTTTACCTTGGAGTATGTCAGGGAAGGACAAGTGTCGAAGCTGTCGCGTTTGTGGGGTGATATTGCAGAGCGGATTTCGCCTGTTTGGGAACTTCTTGAGGCTGAGGTGGATGTGGAAAGTAAGACGCAGTTGAGTACATGCTTTTGGGGGCATGGTAGAGACAGATATACCATTAAGTGAAGTGATGAGCAGTATGTGGTTTTGTCCAACATGTTGTAGAGCCTGATTGTTCCAGTTGGGATGTTTCTTAATCAACTCCATGGCTTCCGAAGGACTGGGCAGGGAACGAGCAGTCTAGGTGTTTGCTTACGGGGCTTATCTGCGTCAGTTGCAATACATTAAACTGAAAAAGATACATTCTAGTCAAGTTCAACAGTTAGATGCATGTCAATGTCATCATATCGATATTGGTGCAAATACCATTAGACGCAGACGGTCGACGGCGCCTAATGATAATATGTTAGTAAATGCCTCAGTATACAGCCGTACCAGCCAACTCAAATTCGCAAATACCCCTAAATAACACCACTATAGTATGCTGAAAGTGATCACAGAATAATAAAGACAAGAAAAAATAACATATAGTGCGAAAATTTCACACTCAGTGGTCGGATTCGCTGCATAATGTATACTTTGACATTTGCAGAAGGGGCTACAAGAGTAGTTAAAATTCATTACTTTTCATATAATCGGGGCAATGGCGCATCTGGGAGCGCGTCAGACTGAAGCTTTAACTTCGGCCCACAGGCTTCGTCCGAAAGGATGTCTCTGTAAATCTGAAGGTGGCCGGTTCAAGCCCGGCTTGCCCCATTTTCTTTTTTTTCCCCTCCCGTTCTTTTCGGACACGGATCGGTTTCGCACCATCATCCACTTCAACGTAATCTTCTTTCTGGGTCAGATCTCATTATCTTTTATTTGTTTGTTATTTTTTGTCTCTTCTTTAATTTCGGAATCATTCTACGCCGCCCTTTTATTTAGTTCAAGCCCCTCAAATCTTCTCGATTATTGCATGTTCTCCCATCTACTTACCTCAAAGATAATCCAGCCACCCCTGACTTGATGACGGTCTAAAGCCGCAATCCAACATGTTTGTCTTATTACTTTTGACATTCTTTCGGACATTCGCGACATATATTTTCATACACCTTGTATTAGAGCCGTTGTATGTCTTTGGTCATGCGAACGTCCAGTCTTGGATGCACACAGACAGCAAGAGCTTAGCTTGATTCATGTACTCACAGTTCGAATAACTTATTTCGTGATATGATAAAAGTGGCACATGTTGGAATATCCAGATGGTTATGATGCTTTCACTTCGTCTAATCCCGTCTGGGCTGCCAGGAGAAGAGAATCAAGGGCGAGGTAAAGATGGAGTGTGCGTCTACTATACCAATATGTAAAGACAGGGCCGTGACTTGTTCTCACAATCCCACATTGATGGCTGGGAATACCCACAGCATATCTACTGAGACACATGATAAAGGCTCGTGCATACTTTATGCTATTGCTTTCATGTGCTGCTGATCTGAGAGCAGGTACTGCTGATGGTCATTCACGTCTGCACAGCAGTAGATCAGTAGGGATTCCCCGACATCTTGGATGCGACTGCTGCACCTACCATTCAAGGCACAAGTTGAGGCAATGGCTTTTCAACATAGGAAGAGTTTCCATCAAGCCAAATGGAATGAAACAAGCAGAAGGAACTCGGAAAGTCCATGTACACCTGATGTAAACTCCATGAATATGGATAACTAGCTTTAGGCACGCTGGGACATAAATCCATCACCATCCCCATTCATAAATAGACGCAAGAAGTCTTGACATCCAGCAGCGAGTGAACAAACTACAACCCGAAAAGACCAGCGTCTGATACTGATTGGGATAGTTACTCTTCAACACCACTACACCACCCTTGTCTCATATTCAAGATGGGTTGGAAATCAATGTTATCGACCCCTGTGCATCCCGGTGCACACCGGCTCAAATTGGGATCTCAGATAGCCAAGTTATTGGATCATGCTAAGATTCCCTACGTGGCCTGCGGAGATTTAATGAACGTGCATTACCAGGAAGTGGATAGGGCTACTGTAAGGCAAACCAACCATATGGTAGGCTGCGAAAGAAATTGAACAAGGCTAACTGATCGATAATAGTTTCTTGATATTTGCTTCGTGGTTCCAGACGATCGCCTGGATGCCGCTATACGAGCGTTGCGAGTTGCTGGTTTATCCGAGGATCCTTGTACTGCTGGTTGCTGCTGGGCAGAAAACCCAACTGGTTTTTCCCCTTTTCCGTTCCCGTGGCCTGCCAAACACTTCCATCGCTATTTGAACTTCTATTTGTGCAACCCTGTCGGTCTGCTCCGGAAGTCCCAGTGGCTCTGGCTCATGCCCGATCTTCCCCTTGAATTTCCCGAGCCCAATGACCCTAATTTCATTCTCTCTACAGACCGCCGTCTTCCTGATTGGGATAAGGATGGTTTCGGCAACTCCTCTTATCCAATAAAGCTGCTCACTCCGGCGCGATGGATAGAGTCATTGTTTAGCCTGCATATCAGAGATTTGAGTGTAGTTCAAAGATTTGACGAACGCTGGTACCATCATGTTGTGAAGTTTCATGCACGACTTGCAAGACTACTTCCTCCGGAACTTTTTCATATTGACCTCATCCAAGCACCTTTTCGCACCTTATATAGAGAGGAAGCGGACAGGCGTAACACATTGAACTACAAGCACTTGTTGATGGACAGGTTGTGGGGAGAATGGCAGGAAGCTGGTTCTATGCCAGACCCCATTTACCCGTTCAATATCGAAAGGTATAAGAAGGATGTCAAGGAGAACAGAAATGTGTGGTTATATGAAGAATGGATTGATGAGATCATGTCCAGTTAAATTCCAGAGTCGATCTTTCACTTACCCACGATACCTTCCTCCTTTCCGCTCTTCCCACCAGAAGATGGTTCCATCGAGAGCTTATCGAACAGAGGGGCTAGATGGGGTGAGCTTAGGCTTCAGAAATCAAATGTATCATTTTTATATAGAGCGTGATTACTTACCAAGTTTTTTTCTAGAAATAAGTGATCCAGATGCCCCTTCCCTTTGCGTCTATCCTTAGTAAGGAGTACACTTCCTTTTCCTGGTGTCCCTGAAGAGAAAGTATGAAACCCACTTCCCCAGCTTCCTAGTAAAAAGTCAGAAGGAAAAAAAGGGATGAGACAAGTAGAGAATCGAATGGCATATGCTAAATAACGAATGGATGTTGTATGCACTACTATATCACTTCAGCTGTAGCGCTTTCCCGGTCAGAGATACTACTTTGTACTGAACACATAGCTGCGCGACACCACAGACATTCTGACCCTGTCTTGACGTAATGTTACGAAGATACCTGCTCACTAAATCCGCCAAGCGAGCGGCTAATAGACCAGAATCTATTATATCTGATCTAGAAGGTGTATGTATTAGAACAAGCAACTGTGGCATGAGATAATCGGCGAGGACCGGAAAATATATCCGCACTTGGGGCTTGGTGAACATGGCAGGCGTTACTAGGGTCTATCATGGCCTTCGGGGTTGTCGTATTCCTTAGTATTCCTAAAAATGGACGACATCATGATTAACATTGGCTTAACTCTGAATTACTGTGTACTCTTGCATGAAATGGCTCAGAGCCTGCTTGGAAGTAGTCGGCAGTCCTCTCACACTCCCTGTCATCTCTGCACGTATCAAGACCATAACAAAAGTAGGCCAAGGGAAGGTGTGCTCCTTGTTCGCTCCTCACCTTGGAGTCTCTTCACCAAACTCTTTCCGTGCCTGACAATTGTCGTAACAAGTGATTAGGAAGTACTAAACCAGCTCTTGTTGTTATTCAAACCCTACTCCTATCCCTTGCCGTCTCCCCACAGCACACCCTATGCTAACCCCTGCAAAAAGCAACCCACGAACAAACCAGAAGCACTCAAATACCGCTAAAAAAAGACTTTACTAAGTTACCAGGGTACAACGCTGTTCTGCTTGCTTTCTCATTCTGGGCTTCCTTTTGATGATCCTAGCTAGGGAACTACTGCTAGTATCCTGGAGTCTCCACTGGCCAGTGCCACAGGCTTAAGTTTACGTGGCAGGGTGGCAAACGCGGAAGACAGATTCCGATCAGATGCTGTTGGAGGTTCAGATAATAAATTAAGTAGATTGACTAGGGACTCTCTGCCTATCGCATTGCTTAAGCCGGCTGCTGACCGAGATCTGACACACTGACCGTGGATATAGGACTGCCCTAAAATCTTATGTTCTGACAGACCTGAAGACTATGTAGAGATAGAGATTGGGATCAGAATTGGCAAGGGATGGTCCGTGGTGATTACTCGTTTTGGTGGGTGCTAAAGGTGGTTGGCGCCCAGTGCTCCTCTTTTCGAACGGGCCAGACATAGGGTTCATACCAATCCATAGCAGACTTGGAGACAAACAACGACTCCATCACCACGTGTACAGTCAGTGACTAGACAGAAAAGACAATCTTTCGCGCGGCTGCCGGGTAATGCTTCCGGTAGCAAAGACAGCAGTTGAATTTATTAGACGGCTGACTCCGTCTCGCCCGTCGACCCACCCTCTCAACCATGGAGCACCAGCTGTAGCCAACGACGCTTATGCGCCAAAAGCACGTCCGTACATACGATAGTCAGGAGAAAAAAAAAAGGCTAAAACAGGGAACGTCGTGTCCCAAGGGTCCAATTTCCTTGATTTGCTCCATGCCTCTGTTCCCCCTCTCTCCCCTCATGGGGCCGGGTCCCTGGCTCCTATCACGGAGATGGAGGGTGGGGACGACTTCAAGCTCGTCCCGAACTGACACGGCAGGCCATGGCTTTATAAATCTGCATAATAACTGTTCTACTGCAGGTCCTAATCATAAACGCTCATCTGCTCTTCTTGCTCTGTTTCAGAATCCAGAACACTATCCGGATAACATGGAAGGCTTCAACCGCTTCGAGTTTCTAGGCACGGTATTCGAGTCTACAAAGCGGTAGGTTCAGCTAGCAGTAACTTGACGCTAAGGAATAAGTCTGACCTTGACCGTAACTCTGTTGGGTAGATATGGAAACTTGCAACCCATTGGCTTGGGGGTGTATGGCCTTGTTTGGTAGTCTCTGCCCTGTTTTTTTCTTGTTTTCTGCTGGGAAGAGGGAGAGAAGGAATCGTGAGTGAGTGAGGATGAGTGAGGGTATGACTGACATTTCAAATCCAGCTCGGCACATGATCAATTTACGGGACAGGCAGTCGCCATCAAAAAAGTCATCAAGCCGTTCGAGACTGCCACAGTGGCAAAGCGTACCTTCCGAGAGGTGAAACTCTTGAAGCATTTTCGACACGAGAATGTATGGCAGGCCCAATTCATCTTCCTTCCAGACGTCTTCTTCATTCTGACGATCTACAGCTCATCGGTCTTTGTGACATTTTTGTCTCTCCACTGGAGGACATGTAAGTACCCACAAACCCTCCATGCCATCACACTGGCACTGACCACTACCCCTCAGATATTTAGTGACTGAACTCCTTGCGACGGATTTGAATCGGTTGATGAGATCTAAACCCCTGGAACCCCAGTTTGTCCAATACTTTACCTACCAGATCTTGGTAAGTCAGCGGAGTAGTAGCCCCAACAGAGTACCAATGCCCAGAAATGACTAACTTAGCCTCCATAGCGTGGTCTGAAGTACATCCACTCCGCCGGCGTTATCCATCGGGACCTCAAGCCTAGCAATATTCTGGTTAACGAGAATTGCGACCTGAAAATATGCGACTTTGGGCTCGCACGAGTGAAGGAACATCAGATGACCGGCTATGTGTCTACACGCTATTATCGAGCACCGGAGATCATGCTGACATGGCAGAGATACGGCGTGGAGGTAGACCTCTGGAGTACCGGGTGCATTCTCGCCGAGATGCTCTCTGGAAAGCCCTTGTTTCCCGGGAAGGACCATATCAATCAATTCTACTTGATTATCGACCTCTTGGGCAACCCTCCTGATGAGGTCATCGATCGAATTTGCAGTAAGAACGTACGTTTCGAGAAACCACCATTATAACAGTCCCATGCTCACCTGAATGATAGACTGTTCAGATAGTTAAGTCACTTGGGGATAGACAGCCACGCAGTCTAAGGACAATGTTCTCGAGCGTCGATGAAGCTGGTATGTGATGTTCTGTTTAGGCATAGATGAAATGATGGACTCCCCTACTTACCGAAACTTGCGGTACAGCCGTGGACCTCCTCGACAAGTTGTTGGTCTTCGACCCACACGCCAGGATATCGGCCAGCAATGCTCTAGAGCACCGCTATTTGCAGATATATCATGATCCTACTGATGAGCCCAGCGTCGAAAGACCATTCGATTGGTCGTTCGACGGCGCTCGACTCTCCAAGGAGACCCTCAAGCTTATGATGCACGTTTCCCTGGTGTCTTTACTCTATGCGTACCATACCCTAACACAAAGCATGCAGATATGCAGAAGTGCTGGATTACCACCAATCCGACCAATTAGCCCACCCAGTGACCCTTGCTGAAGAGCCGATGTCCGGAGCTGATCTACTCCCGAATTTCAGCACATTTCCCGTGCCAGGACGGGAGACTGATACAAATCCGGACTCCACGTTTAGCCTTTTGGAGCCTTGGTCCACGTGGGACATTGGAGGCCTTGACCTATCATTACCAGCATCAGATTACGTGGATCCAGCTGAGACTAGTTTACCGACAACAATTGGGTGAGCATGAAAATACCAATCACAAGGTTAAGCCCGGGGTCGAGCAGATTCTTTAGGTTCGATACCCTTAAAAAAAATCTAAATGGCATGATGAAGACTTTTACTCTTCCTTCACCCTTCCCTGTTGAGAGTACCGGATTATATGGGACAGACTTGGAGCCACATCCTGGCCCGCGTTGTATTGGAGTCGTGCACATTCCCCAACTCAGTAAAAAGCGAAATACTTTTCGTCTTAAGGGTGCGAACAGACAGCGACAGTACTGGTACCCCAAAACGGGATAGTATGGGTCGTCAATACTTAATGACGGCCCTTCCGATGGCCGAGCCAATCGTACTCTCAAATCCGCGGAGTTCCGCGAATCTTCTTTGACGGGAATATTCTGGAGCGTTAATGGTAATTCCAGTCATGCATCAGGCATCCTCAACGATATTATGTACTTAGTCGGAACTAGGGCGTTCGACCGCATGATTCGCGGGGGAAATAAATAAGCCTTGGACTGATAATTCATCCCGCCGCGAACGTCGCAGCACGCCTCGATCTTTGGGAAGGAATATACGGGGATGTGGACAGCCAAACTGGCCCAGTTCTATCGATTATGGTAAAGAACCCACCGCTGACCAGATTAACGCCCCGGCCGAAGGTGTCCGAAGGATAGACACACCTCCTTGCTTCATTAAGTCTAGTTGTGTTCATCTGAACTTAATCTGGTTAAAAGCATCACTCGCCACCTTGGTTACCAAGTGCCTATTAACCATAGGCTGTTCACTTAGCCAACTAGCTGACAGGCGATGCCACGGCACAGCTCAGCCGTCTAACAGGATAATTTCCATAGTAGCTCACAGCTAACTTGGCTGGCTAGCAAAACCAGCCCTTAGTCAGTGGCTGTGGTGTATACAGTAAGTAAATGAACCTTTTTTCCAACGGCCTCGTCAGTCCGAGGGGGGTGGCAAAAGACACCGTACTAGAAAAGGGCCTCCCACGCAGATCTCGTACGGTGGGGCTGACTAGGAGATAGGCCATCAGATCTATCTAGTCTAGATCTACTCTCTACGGGATGAGAGCCTAAGCGAGGTGGGGAGTGGAGACGGTCATGGCCCGGTGTGCACTGGGCCACCCGTTACCTGAGTCTGGGAACCACCAACGAACTAGTCTATTCCCAACACTTGAAATCTTGAATACACCAACACCATGTCAGTCACTCCTGGTTGAATAATTCCAGTTGACTAACGGAGAGTCATCACAGTTGAGCCGCGTATTTTGACTCCACTGTCAGGTGGCAATGTTCGCTCTGCCAATTCCGTCTCATTCATCCACTTTTGGACTGTATGCAGTAGTCTAGTCAAGTCAGTACTCGTATTCAACAACTAGACTAGCGTCATGTCTTATTCTCCACTGACTTCAAAACGTTCAGCCCTGGGGGATGAATAGAGCACTTGAAAGTACGATAGCATGCTGGCGGCTCTGTCAGCCATCTGTGACCGCCAACAAGGGCATCCAAGGCGTCGTGAAGCTCCCATAATCTCTCTTCCTTTCATGTCCCTCCTTCAGTGTGGAGACATCACCATGGGTTTGCCTACAATACCAAATAGCACGCTCTTATCTGTCTTCCATCGCAGCTACCCAGGAAAGGTGGCATGCAAATATGCTGACATGCCTCAACACAAGGACGGTTTTTTGATTCGGAAGGCTTGTGTACGTACTGTGAGCATCTTTCGGTGCTGGGATGCCGTCTTCCGAAGTCCGAAGCTCAGTTATCTGCTACCAGCCCCACTGATCATACTTACTCAGAAGATGCTAGTACTGAAGCCCTTGGAACCACCGCCTCGTCTGTACGGGGTAAACACATTTCTCTCCTGTCTGACTGAGGTAGGGCTCGGCAGTGCTTCTCCGGCCAAACATCCAAGTTTAACAAACTCTGTCATAGAAGATATCTGATCTTCCCTCTCTTGCTGCTATCAAAGTGCGGAGAGGCCACACATGGGCACGTTTTGACGCTCCTTGGGGATGTTACTTCTTATATGGTGGAATTGGACCTTGCAGCTGCACACAGCAAGGTCAACCACCCCCTATGGGTGATGACATTGGCCGCGATATAGTCCCAACATAAAGACGGCGAACGATACGCAGTCGTAGATGTAATCATACGACGTCCAGCTTTCTGTGGACTTCGGACCTGATACCTGGTCGGGCAATCTTCTCCCTGTCTCCAACTCTGCAAGAGGCTTAGCGGAGAATTGCTCGGGCCCCGAGATCGGCCAACCAATCCTCACTACTTGTTAAGTACCACTTTTCAATTATCATTTGCAAAGATTGAAGTACTACTGCTTTTATTTACATTGTACTATTATTTGTCTGGTACTAATAAATCTTCCTTCCGCATTAGCCAATCCACCTGGGCCAGATGCATCCATCTAGTGATGGGTTCGGATCGGCAATTACCACGAGGGGTCCACATGCTAAGCATTCTCCTACGTATTACCTATCCTGAGCCTACTGTGGATGGTTTAGGACTAGATCCCGCCTACTCCGTTAACCCCTCCTGAACTTACCACTAGACTATGCCATGCCATGGCATGGCACATGGCCTTCCTATAAGTGAAACACTTGAGCATATTCCCGCCGTGGAGACCACATCCCCACCTGAAAACCAGAGACCTCCACTGTCTGGTTTCGACCTCAATCCACAGACTGGCTGGACTATCCCCATGAAGACGTCCTTACTACAACCACGTTCAATGTAGACCAAGATAGAGTCCATCCTCTACATCTTGCTAGAAGTAATCAAAGACATTGACTGATCTCTACATCGCAATGGAACGTCTTTTATCTACGGCAGTGAAAGCTCCCTAATCGTAGATGAGTATGTATCTTAATAAGAATTTCCTTTTTTTTTTTTCTTTTTTTTCTTTTTTTTTTTAGCCCGAAATTAATGACATTCTGTTATCCGGTATTTGAATAGAAAAGAAGAAACTTAATGATTGCAAACACAAAGGAGGAATTCCGAAAAGGTCCCCCGCGCCTTAGGTCGCGACGTCACTGAAAACAAAGATGAAAAATACGAATCCGGCTCTTTAGGCCACAGTCCATTAAGAAGCATGCATACGAAATAAGAAAGAACCCAAGCCGAAGCGATAATACCAGCAAAGCGCACATACCAGGGATACCCTGAAAGAAGAGACAAAGAGGGAGAGTCATTCTGTGAACCGCTAATAACAACACGGAGATGTTCCTTCCACTGTTCAGTGGTCTTCTTCTTCCCCCACCACAATCCTTTTTGCGATCTAACGAGGCGCCTCACTTTGCCTTCAATCACCATTCTCTGTTCTGCAGACCACCGGTGTCCTGGCTCTAGCCGGCCGGCTAGTCTCCAAACTAGATCGGTGTTACAGAGCCAATCCACCACTTCCAGCAGAACTGCGTGCGAGAGACTAAGAAACGGGATGTCAGGACTAGAGTCAGAGCCCTCCAACAATTTAGGACACTTTTTGAAAGCATCCTGAAGGATTTTCTCCCGGGAAGTGTTGCCGGGCTGCTCCTCTCTTCGAAAACGGGAAGCAACGATCTTGACATTGACGGGTATGCCCAAGCGATAGGGAATGGCCATAGTCACCACCGAAGAATTGTCGTTGGATGGAGCAGACTTCTTGAATATCCCAGCTTGTTCCTGGACGAGTACGTCTGCGAGATCTTGGGCGGGATAGTTCCCTTGGCTAGAGACTTGGATGGTGATCTTCGTTAGGTACAATGAAGTAATGACAATTAGCAAGCTATCCATCGAACTGCTTTGAGGGTGGGGTTTGATAGAGTAACAGAAGAGAGGATGAGGGAAAGGAGGAGTATCGTACAGTCCCTGCCCATCGCCGGACGCCGTGGTGCGAATGGCAGTAGTCACCAGTCACGAACACTTTGGATCTTTGGAACTCCTCGTGTTGTTTTAGACGATTGAGGAGAAGTCGCAGTGTGGGCTCGGAGGGTCCGAGTAAGAAGAAAACAAGGTTATTGAGGAAATTAATCAACATGTCCAGTGGGGACATGGTTGCGATGGAATGAAAAATGGCGTAGATGGTTCGGGGTCTGTAGCGTTGAGAGCTATGAATGAGAAAGAATAGCTTGTGGTCTTTGCTCCGGTGGGAGACTTCTCTTCATACTTATAAGAATGTCCTTATCACATATTCAAGTCTGTCCTGTCTGTGTCCCTCATTGCCCCTCACCCCGGAGGCGTTTATTCCCTGTGTCTCTCAAGCCCAGATACATCCACAGTGACCGTGAAGTGATGCGTTGGCACCAAGAGAACCTATAGGCGCACTTCACTTGTCTTGAATTCGTCATCGAGAAGATGGATGGACATCTTGGCCTCTTAAGGTTCAGCGCCCTGAACCGCAACTAGTCCTTTTGAAGCAGAGTCGGCTTCATGAGCGCCCATAGCCACGCCTCGCCTGCCCTGATTCCATTATTGTAAGAGGTGGATGAAGGCGCCTTGCACTCTTAAGGTTCGGCTCGTTCACGTAAATGATCCTGCTCATGTCTTTTGGGAGCAACGTCGGCACCATGGGGATGGATCCATTATCATGCCCCGCCTGCCAAACTTCCGTTATCGTAAAGGTGGATGAGGGTATTATGCAGTCTAAGGTTCGGCGCGTTCACGTTACCGGTCTTGCTTTTCCTGCAAGTTCAAAGTAGAACCAGCATCGTGGGGATGGACCTATAGCCATGGTTTGCCTGCCATGGTTTCGTTCTCGTAAAGGTGAATGGGGGTATGCTGTACTGTAAGGTTCGGCGCGTTCACATAACTGGTCCTGTTCCTCATGCAAATCCAGAGCAGTGTCGACATCATGGGGACGGAGCCATAGTCATATCCCGCCTGCTAATATTCTGTCACTGAAATGGTGGTTGAGTTTGTACTGCAGTCTAATGTTCGGCACATTCACATAACTGGCCCTGTTCCTCATGCAAACGCTCAAGCGGCTTGAGACGAGATGGAATCGTATGGAGACAGATCGGCAGAACTGAATGTTGTTAATATCATTGAACCTTGCAGTCAATGCCCCAAAAGCATACTTTGTGTTACACACACAATGTCTTAGCTAAACACTCAACGACTTGCGAGAGATTTGTGCTCCAAAGACAGAGATACCATCTATACCCACTGCACCAAATTGCAGCTACTAGTCGTGTGAATAATGTAGGGGCATCGATTGGGTGGAGGATATGGTTTGGTAAAAGAGAACTGCTGACCAATGGGTAGAACAGCCAGTGAGCCGTATAGGAGTAGAGTGAGATAGAGAAGACAATCCATCGATGAGGGGCAACTGATCCAAATGACGCAGGCAGGAAGCCAAGCCTCTGAAGGCAGGCTATCCATGTCCAATAAACCGGTTCCAAGGCCTTGGGCCAATCATTGAGGAACAGGGAAAGACGGAAATGGACGAGCAGATGGATGAAGAAAGGGTGCTGCTCGCCATCGGAGGTCGGCAACTTAGGAAGTGAGACACAACTACCCAACGGGAGTGTCTCCTGTAGACCGCTTCATGTTCTCCTGGCGCTGGCATATTCTTCCCATCTACCCACTCACCATGTGTATCCTACGTGGCTCAGGAATAACTTGTCAGCTCCGTCATTAGCCGTGGGCACTCACAATTTGTTTACTGCCATAAGAAGGGATTTTTGATCTAACTGTAGCCCCAGGTAGGCATCCCACATGTAAAATATCTAGCCCATACATAGCCAGTAGAAGTAGCTATGGCAAGGGAGTGAAAATGGCTGTAATGTTAATTAGTGTATGGTTTGATTCTTCTGTAGCTCTCACTGGGTGTTGAATGCGGAGTAAAGCGTAGGGGTCGTTTGGCACAGTTTCTTTCCCCCCAAACTTTCCTACGAAATCCTTGTTGCAGACCAACAAAGAAGCCCTCAGAAGATGCGGTCATCCTGAGTGACGTCTCGCGTGTTTCGTTTCCATCATGATTTAGGTTCACACTCATAAGAATAGAGTCAGTTGATCGGATGAGAAGGCTGAAGGTACACAACTTTGGGAGACCGGTGTGAGATAAGGGACGACCTGAGTCCGATGACAGAGGAAAACGTAGTCAGCATGTGTGCATCCCAGGTCGGACAAGGATGGTGGCTTGCAGAACAGCCTATAAGAGTTGTCTTCCCAGGCACGAATCCGATCACATCCGATAGCGCCACCCCCATGAGAATTGAAGAAGTACACCCCTCCCCACCAGACAGGAAGGGTAGGCAGTCATCAGGGACCATCTACCACTCGTGGAGTTGGCACATGTCCAGACCTGTAACCAGATCAAGAATAAGGGGCCAACCGGCACGGCCGACATTAACCGATCGTGCCACACGACGCAGTAATCGACAACAAAACTCTCCGGGCAAGATGCTCTGGCACTAGGCCTGACTTGGTCTGGGTGCTGCTGTCTCTTTGCCCTTCTCACCTGTAAAAAACCGTATGACAAGTCGGCGTCTTTCATCGGGTGGCCTGCCTTTCATAGAAAGACCGAATTCACCACTGCTCTCTGGAATGCCTTTGGGCAGTAGTACTGGCCATCCAATTTCGTGGCTATCTTGCGTCTCGTATTCCGGAGTGAGAATCGTAGACGTGGAAGATACTCATCAACTGAGGCCACAGCCACAAGTCATACCAATTATTGCGCCCGTTCCATTGAACAAGATGACCTCATAGAGTGACTCCAGTCATCGGCTGCAACTTTATCACCGCTTTTGGTCAATTATATTATACAGACACAGTGCATTCAGGTATGACGCGGTGGCACCATGACACCGGCTCCAAACAGCCATGCAGATCCCCTAAGCTTTCAATTAGCCATAAGCCCGACATAACGGAGAAGAATTGAGTTCCTCACCTCGCATACTCTATGTTAGTAATGATTCTCGGAGCTTTGTATCACTTCATAGATCGACAAGAATACGGATCCTGCAGTCTGGTTCTAAAAGTGGGCCTAGGCTGTGTCATGGCAGGATCAGTAGAGTAGAGAAGCTGCATGTACATTTGCTGATCATTTCATTGTTGGTTGAACTGGCTTGTCAGTAAGTAGGTTCTCAGACCGCTCGGTTTCTGGTGGCTGTCATCGTCCGCTTTTCTTGGCCCTTCCTCTTCTCACCCCAGGTAACGGCTTGTACCAGGACAAAGTGGGAAGAGGATTAGCACGGCAAACAGACGCTGGGTTTGTAAGTGGGGTTGGCAGAATGTGGGAGCACGCATCCTTTAGTCCTTGAGGAGGGCTCGGGTGGTGAGATGATGAGCGTGTTAGGAAACTTGCGGTTGAGATGCATGGCGGGTGCATCACCTGACCTGCTTTAGCATGGATTCTATAGACGGACGCTTTAAAGTTTTTGATACGATCTTTGAATATCTGAGAGGCTACTTCGCTTAGCTCTGAGTACGGTTTGATTATGCGGCATAATTACGATAAAATGAGAGAGGTAATAGCATCTTCAGCCAAGGGAGACATATTTAATAGCATCCTCTAAGCTGCAGTAGGAGTAGATACATAGCATAATGACGACCCGGAGATCATGTAGATAATCGTGACGATGACCGAATTAGACATAGATACCCATGTTCGTGTCCTTCTTCTTCGCCTGTACTTCCGAAATGGCATCCACGTAGTTCTCGTGTCCTACTTTGCTCATGCCCTTCCGGAGAGCGATCATACCCGCCTCCACACACACAGCCTTCAGCTGAGCACCGCCAAACTCGTCGGTACTGCGGGCCAGTTCCGCCCAGTTGACCCGGTCATCCACAGCCATTTTGCGGGAGTGGATCTGCAGGATGTTGGCTCTCGCCTCCTCGTTGGGTAGCGGGAACTCGATCTTGCGGTCCAGACGACCGGAACGGAGCAGGGCGGGATCGAGAACGTCGACACGGTTCGTGGCCGCGAGGACCTTGATGCGATCATCCGAGGCAAATCCGTCGAGCTGATTGAGCAGTTCAAGCATGGTTCGCTGCACTTCACGGTCACCGGACTTCTCGGAGTCGAAACGCTTCGTACCGACCGCATCCAGCTCGTCGATGAAGATAATGGAAGGTGCCTTCTCCTTGGCAAGGGCGAAGCAGTCACGAACAAGTTTCGCACCATCACCGATGAACATCTGCACCAACTGCGGACCGGCGAGCTTGAGGAATGTGGCGTTCGTCTCTGCTGCACAGGCTCGGGCAAGAAGTGTCTTACCAGTACCGGGAGGTCCATACATTAGAGCACCTGTGAAGTGTGTCAGAAAGCCCGTGCTAGGCTGAAGAGACCAAGGATTGCATACCTTTCGGTGCCTTGATGCCAAGCTTCTTGAACCTGTCAGCCTCCTTCATAGGCCATACGATAGCCTCCACAATCTCCTCGATTTGCTTATCCAGGCCACCAATGTCGGTGTACTTCTCCGTCGGCTTCTCATCGACCTCCATGGCCTTAACACGGTTATCGTACTCGGCAGGTAGCGTATCCAGGACGAGGTATGAGTCCTTGTTGACACCAATGAGATCACCAGGCTTCAACTTCTCGTGATCTACTAGACCAATGAGAGGGAGATAGATAGTCTGGCGGGTCGACGTCTTGATGACAGCCGACTTGCCCACCCGTGTAGCATCAAGGTCAATGTTCGCCCCCTCCTCGGCCGCCTCAGCTTCAACATCCAAATCCAAAAGCTCGACGACGTTTCCGACCAGGTAGGGTAATTGCCTATCAGACAGACTGTTAGTAAATGACCCGAATTGCGCCGCAATTGCCACCGCGTCGAACAGACGCCAGCGGAACCGAAGACAACGGGACTCAGAGCTTACCTGTTGTTCTCGATCTTTTCTTGGTTATCCTTGACTTTCTCTCGCATCGTGTTTTGCTCGTGGGTCAGGCGCTGGTATTCGCTCTTCATTATACGCAGCTCATTCTCCAGCATCCGCCGTCGCTTGACGATGTCCGCTGTGCTCGAGCTAAGAATCTCTTCGTCCAAGAGTCCATCATCCTCATCTTTCTTGGCATCGGCATCTTTCATCTCAGCATCTCCTTCACCTTCG